AAACACAAACAGCGCCATGGTCCCTTCACTACTCTATTTTCTGTCAGAGGAAGCAGAGCCTACAGGATGCCACACACACACACACACACACACACACACACGCGAGCGCACACACTTTATGTGAAAAATGGGAACATAAACTGAAGGAGAACACAAGGCAGCTGCTCTGTGGCAGCAGAGGAGCTCTTTCACAATAAGAGTAAGTCTGAATTTGGGCTTACATACACATATATATACACACACACACACACACACACACACACACACACACACAGTTAGCATGCTAACAGAGTTTCCTCCAAGTGTGAAGTAGGAGGGGCCTATTAAAACCTTTAACAGGTAATCTGCACTGATTCAGTCTCACAGAATCATGTTCAATGATGTGATGTGATCGTCATGTAGACGCTCCGTGATGTCATCTTTATGGAAATGTTTGTGATATGATCGCCATGGAGTCACTCGTGATGTGACAATCATGGTCATGCTTCGTGATGTGACCATCATGGAGAAGCTGGAGACATGGAGACACTCTGTATTGTAATCGTCGTGGGGACACTCTGTGATATGATCGTCATGGAGACACTCCGTGATGTGTTATCCATGGAGATACTTGCTGATGTGATCATGGTGGAGACGCTTGGTCATGGAGATGCTCTGTGATGTGATCGTCATGGAGATGCTTCCTGATGTGATCATGGTGGAGACGCTTGGTCATGGAGATGCTCTGTGATGTGATCGTCATGGAGATGCTTCCTGATGTGATCATGGTGGAGACGCTTGGTCATGGAGATGCTCTGTGATGTGATCGTCATGGAGATGCTTACTGATGTGATCATGGTGGAGACGCTTGGTCATGGAGATGCTCTGTGATGTGATCGTCATGGAGATGCTTACTGATGTGATCATGGTGGAGACGCTTGGTCATGGAGATGCTCTGTGATGTGATCGTCATGGAGATGCTTACTGATGTGATCATGGTGGAGACGCTTGGTCATGGAGATGCTCTGTGATGTGATCGTCATGGAGATGCTTACTGATGTGATCATGGTGGAGACGCTTGGTCATGGAGATGCTCTGTGATGTGATCGTCATGGAGATGCTTCGTAATTGAGATGGTTACGAAGGCTACACCAAGGCATTTGAAAAAAGACTTTGGAACGCACAGCCTGCAACACACCGCTGTGGCGTAATCGGCCTACAAATGTGTACTCTGAAGGCAGCAGCCCTTCAATTGGGACACAGCCTAAAAGACTGACCAGTGTGATCTGTCCCATGTTATTAATGACACTGCCAAATCCATAATCAATAACGGTACTCTGCTACAAAACCACCATACAGAAATTATGTAAAAAGATTTATTACGATATACTAGAATACAGTTAAATGTAACTGTGATGTACGTATCTATCAGTCAAAGACAATGAAGAAGATGAGTGTGTACCTTCCTCATTCATGCTCCAGCTACCGCTCTGAGGGTCTGACGTGTAGCCGCATGAGTCCAGCTCAAAGCTGCATGAACCGGGGAGGAGGAGCTGCTGAGCCTGCAGGAGGCCACACAGGAGGAGCACTGAGGAGAGAGAGAGACCAATGGGGAGACAGACCAATCAGAAGAGTAGAGACCAATAGGGCGATATGCTGCATTCATGTGGTATCTGACACATCATAAAAAACGAGTTTCCCAGTTGTAAAATATACATGAACACCTGCTCAAGTCGGAACAACTCAGAAACTCGGAAAATAATTAGGTGCTCGACTTGCTGACTTGGCGTCAGTATCGTCAACAAACATGGGGGGCAAAATATGCGAGCAGCACATGAATGCAGCATTAGACCATCAGGAAAGGAAAGACCAATCATGAAAGAGCTGAATCATCCTGCCCAGGTTAATCAGTTTGATCTGATCATTAACCTGCACACACTCAACAAAGACCAGAGAAAAAAATGCACACTCAGGGAATTCACAAGGGAAGGAAAAGACTGCTTAACCCTCTTTTCCAGTAGTTGCCAACCTATCTGTGCATATTGGACCGTGCTCTCTCGCTCTTTGTTTCCATAAGGAAATGTTGCTAATGTTTTTGTACAATGAAGACAGTGTGCAGGAGTTTGCAGTTTTGGATGGATTAATTCTTCTCCTACACATGCACCTGTCTTATATAAAATAGATGTTGTCATTTTGTAAATATTTTAAAGCTGTTTGCAAACCTTAATTTCAATCTTTTTATGGTTAATTTGTTTAATGCGGTGTGGTTATCGTAATATCTCGCCGAAGCCCCTGGTCTTCTCCATGCAGAGACTTTCAATTGTTGCTTTTACCTCTAAAAAAACTAGAGCTCAACCAATTCATTTGCCCGCAGATAAAATCGGCTGATATTAACATATCCAGTGACTATTGATATTGGCTTATTTTATCGCAACTATGCGCTGCTATTACTAGATTTATTTACCAGTCAAATAGCATTTCATTTGAGTTTCGTCGTATTACACTGGCAGTTCTAGTGCTATATGGATTACAACAAGCATTATCATTCTCCAGAGTGTCAAACAGTGATGCACATACATGCACAATGTTTGATTACTGCATCTGAAGGATCATCGCAAAAAATGTGCTCATCTAAATCTATCTTTCTCTATAGCTCAAACATAGATCCAAGAAAGATATCGCCCGATATATCAGTATCCCAATATCGGCATCGGGCCCTAAAAATAATATATCGCTTGGGCCCTGATAAAAATGTTTAAACTTAAGTTTACTACTAAAACATTCTGTTGACTGAAACAGTCACAGCATAGCAGAGCTTTTCATCCTTTTGCATGTACTAATGTGTGTAAGAATTTTGAGTTTTTGTTGATTGTTCTTTTAATAACTTATTAACACTAATGAGAGAGAGAGAGAGAGAGAGAGAGAGACATCGTCTGTTCTAATATAACTCAGTAAACCAGTGAAGTGTGTGAAAGAAACTACACGCTGTTTAAACTGATGCTTATGCGTTCAGTGCGCATTAACATTCAAGTTGTCGAAGATCATTATGTGGTGAACACGCTTTATGTTGTATAGCCTATAAATGTCACCAGAAAGAGCATCTAGACTTTAACCCAATAAGTAGAAACTTCTCCGTGAGGAGAGTTTGGCTATCAAAACTTCGTCGGTGATTTCAGATAAAATCATCTTTTAAACTTTCTATTTGTAACTTTCTAGGGAAGTTAAAGTTCATTTCACACACAAAGATAAAGTGTGAACTCACCGTGCAAACAAAAGAAGAAGCTGCTCATCGTGTCGCTTCTCTCGCTGAGATTATTTCCACTCTGATTCACAAGCTGCTTCAAACAATCCTCCTCCTCCTCCTCCTCCTCCTCCTCCTCTCTCACATGTTCACTGTGTCAGAGGTGCGGGCGGAGGACTGAGGAGGTGTAAGGAGGTCTGGTCCGTGTGGACGAGCTGATGTTTGGAGCGGGAGAAGGCTCAGGTCCGCAGCTCCTCTCCGCCTCCCTCTGCTGGGTCACACTGAGGATGCAGGGCCGCTTACACACTGTGTGGGGCCCCTTTAGGATCCCCACAACCCCCCAGCACTGGACTGGGAAGAAAATTTGTCCACAGGAATTTTTGGCTCAAACTGGTCCCCTTACAACTGGTGGAACACGACATTTCTGAACTTGAATAGGTCTAGCCAACCACATTATCCCCAAGAATGTCTATAGATTCTCAGTAATTCAGGTCATGGTAAATCAGGCTTAGAGATCCCCCTGAACCATTATGAGAAGAAAATGCAAGAGACACATATAACAGTGTGTGCATGTGTTGACACCCTTATCATCTACGGAGGACACAATGTCCTCAAGAAGCACGTCAAAATGAGGCTACTAGGCCTACTAAAATAAATTCAAAACGACATCATTCATTTATACTGTTCATGAATAATTGGAATTTTACATTTAATTACAAAGTGCTTCGGCCCACTGGGAAAATGTATGCCAGATGACCAGTCCAAACCTGCCCTCAAGTCAAACTGTTAGAGAACCATAAAGTTCTGCTGCTCCGTGTGACGATCTGATATCTGAAACATCTCAGTGTGTGAACGATAGAAATCTCAGTCCTGCTGGGAGTTAAGTCACTGAAGGGAGAGAAACAAGTTACAGACTTTACAGAGTCAAAGTGATCACATATCGGTGTACGACATATCCCATAAGAAGGCTAAACTTAAGTCTAAATGTTAAATTGATGGTCATGGGTGTAGTAGTAGGGGTTAGAGTGACACAGGGCCCCAATGGAGGAAGGGGCTCTTATTATAGAAACCAGATTTTTAAACTGTGATAGGATTCTAATAAAAATTGAACGATATTGACACCGATATTGAAACCTGTTTTGATACAACAGCAATGAAAATAGAACTTCTAGGCACCCAATATTGTTTTTTTTAAATACAAATTGCAGAAAAACTCCTTTACAATGTGTGAATTTTATAAAGATATTGGCAACGATGGGATTTATTGTTGACATTGGAAGGATTCATGTGTTGTCAACAGAATCGTCTTTGTGCAGTCCAACACATAACTCTCAAAGTTGTCAATGTGCAGTAATTTGCCTGCAATTTTTATATACATTTATATTTTTATAAATATACACATATATATTTTTTTAGCACTTTTCAATAGTGTCTATCATTTAAATAACATTGATTGTATCATTTTAAAATGTGTGCTTTCTGAAAGTATTGAAGTAGTAACATTTTGCCGACCTTAATTTAAATCTTTTTATGGGTCATTTGTGTAATGGAGGTGTGGTTATATTAATATCTCAATGTTGACGGAGGCTGATGGAGGGGCCCAAAGTGAGATCTTTTCATGGGGCCCAGGAATCCTGGACACACCCCTGCTAATGGTTTGAATTGTGCACCTACTCCCTGTGTCCGTACACACCTTGAATGTGTTTAATTATCAGTTAGTCTATGAAACACAGAGAGAGAGAGCTGCAGTCTGTGAGCCTGTGTGTGACTCAGTGTTTGAGCTGTAATTCTGATCTGTGTGTGTTTTTCATTAAAATGATTTATATTCAATGATGTAAACACTGAGACTTTCAGCTCAGACTGAAGACAAAGAGCTGCTCTGATGATCATATCTGTTAAAAACTGTAAATAAACCTGGTTACCATAGCAACAGAACATCTGACTCTAAATCCAACCTGTATCATACACACTCAGAGGACTGTGTACTGATTAGAACATGATGAAGATGAAGCAGAGGATTGATCAGCAGGTGTGATTGATCAGGTGATCGGTGTTATTGTAATAGCAGAGAGAAGAGAAACCTGAGGGTCAAACAGAACAACAAGACCATTCAGACCTCATGTGAAATCAAACAGAGAAAAATGTTAACATCATAAAGCAATCAAACAGGTAAAAACTGATTATAAGAATCAGAAAATGTCAGAGTTCAAGTTCAAAATAAAAAAAAGTTTAAACCCATCAGAAGTCTGAGATTTCAAACAAACTGCTTCCTGTTTTATGTTTGATTTCCTTTTTCAAATGAGGATGATCTCTCAGAGATGAAGCTTTAATGTGAAATATCTGTGAGCCTGCAGGACAAACTGAGGGCTGAAAGAGCACTACGCACAAACATATTAAACATCTGGAGTCTGTTATATTCAGAAACATCACATTCACAAACATCAGTTTACTGAGACAGCTGTGAACACAGATTGAAACCAGGTCGGAACTTTGTAACAAACAAAACCCAGCTTAATTAATGACTTTTACTATTTTTAATGTACAAATATTTACATTTATATTTTAAAAAACTTTTTTTTACTGAGACATCTGCAAATATAGAGTGACAGTCCTTTCCAATTAAAGCTGGCATTAATTTATCAATATTATCTTTATTGTATTAATATTGTAATTTATAGCCTTTTACATGTATATATTTATGTGTAACTGCAGAGTGAATGTAAGGTTTATAATGTGAAAAACACGTAATCAATCGATAATCTTCAGAGAGGGAGAGAGAGAGAGAAGGAGCGAGAGAGAGAGAGGAGAGAGAGAGAGGAGAGAGAGAGAGAGGAGAGAGAGAGAGTAGGAGAGAGAGAGAGAAGGAGCGAGAGAGAGAGAGTAGGAGAGAGAGAGAGAGAAGGAGCGAGAGAGAGGAGAGAGAGAGAGGAGAGAGAGAGAGTAGGAGAGAGAGAGAGAGAGGAGAGAGAGAGAGTAGGAGAGAGAGAGAGAGAGAAGGAGCGAGAGAGAGAGAGGAGAGAGAGAGAGAGGAGAGAGAGAGAGAAGGAGAGAGAGAGAGAGAGGAGAGAGAGAGAGGAGAGAGAGAGAGAAGGAGAGAGAGAGAGAGGAGAGAGAGAGAGAGAGAGAAGGAGAGAGAGAGAGAGAGAGAGAAGGAGAGAGAGAGAGAGAGAGAAGGAGAGAGAGAGAGAAGAGAGAGAGAAGGAGAGAGAGAGAGAGAGAGAGGAGAGAGAGAGAGGAGAGAGAGAGAGAAGAGAGAGAGAGAGAGAGAAGGAGAGAGAGAGAGAGAGAGAAGGAGAGAGAGAGAGAAGAGAGAGAGAGAAGGAGAGAGAGAGAGAGAGAGAAGGAGAGCGAGAGAGAGAGAGAGAGAGGCAAACAGGTAAATTTGAGGGGTCGTGGGTTCGAATCTGGCCTCGGCCCTCTGCTCCCCCGCTCTCTCAGAGACGTTTCTTGTCTCTCTTCAGCTCTCCTGACCAGTGGAGGCAAAATGGCCCAAAAATAAAAATAAACATTCTGAGGCAGAGAGCTGTTTAGTCGGCCATGTTTACTGTGGTCAGTCTGAAGCTGATAGTCAGCGGGATGTGACATGATGCTGATGTGAGCCACAGTAATAATAAATTCAGAAGGCTGGTTAACTCCCTGCATTGCCCTCCTGTGGTGTTCAGAAGTACTGCAGGACTTAACTCAGCGTGTGAGCTAAAGTTTCTCTATTATCAGATGAGTCAGTCAGCACAGTTTAAAGTTTAAAGCCAGTCATCTCGCAGTAATAATACAAATTTAAAGCTCCTGTGAGGAGTTTTTTATGTGATTTTAAAACAGACTAAAATTAATACTGATGCATGACATACAAGAGCAAACAAGACCATCAGCCTCTAAACGGATAACTTCTTTATAGTTATTTTTATTGCCTTAAACTCCTGTCAGTGGATCAGTGTAAGACCAGCAGATGAACATCACAATGCAGAACTAGACTTTGTTTACATTTTCATTGCAAAGATTTGCAGTGATCTGATACTTACCTGTATACCCTTTTTTTCAATTTAAGTTTAAATTTCTCACAGGAGCTTTAATGTTTCAATCATTTATAAAGATTTAAAGGAGCTGTGCGTCCTGAGAGCACATCTATTGTTGGACCTTAAAACATTGTCTGTATGTTTGAAATCATTAATAATGTTTTGAATTATCGGTTATTCAACATTGACACAGTGTGTGCATTGTTTTAGATCACTGCAGGGTGAAAAAAAAACTCTGAGACACTTTTTGTAAACAATCCACTCCCCCGCTGTGACTCCCCCTCTGCAGCATGACACACTCTCCCCACAGACGCTCCCCAACTCTTATGTAACTCTTTGTGTGATTGTGTGTGTGTGTGTGTGTGTGTGTGTGTGTGTGTGTGTGTGTGTGTGTGATAAGTAAGATTTGTGTCTCAGTGTTTCTTTGATTTATTTGCTTTGTTCTGAATCTTTCAGAAATAAAGCAGGATTCACACAGATTCAAATGGTTTCTGGTTCATCTCAGTCAGCAGAGCAGAAGTCCCAGATACAGGTCACATTCCACATGTCCAAATGCTGTCCCCTGCTGGCTGCTCTGATATTGTATACACTTCAATAAGAAAAGACCAGTTCAGTTCATTTATTAAACATTAAATCAGATTTTTATTTAAATACAACTGGCTAGCTTCACACACACACATAAACCTGAAGCATTAGAGTACCTCTGTGGCGGAGATTAAAAGATGTTATGCTGATAAACTAAGAGAAATGTTAAAAAGATAATACGTTCGACACGGTCTCATTTAATTAAACAGACACTTTTATAAACACACTGTCTGATCTGAAAAACGTTTTTTTAAATATTTTCTACAGTATAAAATGATGTAATACAGTTGAACAGACCTTTTATTGAGAGAAATATAGATCATTGTTTTATTCATATAATTCAGATATCGTATAATGAGTTAAACACACAAAATGTGGCAAAAGAACTGAACACGCACCAAAAGATGCACAGGCACTATTCAATCATTGTTTCTGACTTTAATGCATTGGACTGAATTTCATTGTACTTTCCTCCGTCTAAATTTACCCATGATGCCTCTCTGTGTGAACTTCTTCATCACTGATCAAACTAAAAGTCTGTGAAACATATATCTACATCCAGACCCATAATTTGTCATCTCTCATCTTGTGTTTTTGTTTTCTTTTGTTTGTTTACTGTTTTTTTTCCATTGGTGATAAAGTGAGCAAGTAGACAACATTTATGATAAAGCACATTGAATAATGACAACAACAATCAAGAAACAAGGTACAATACAATGTGATTTGATAGGGTATTACAAATTGGATTTGGATTGTGTGTGTGTGTGTGTGTGTGTGTGTGTGTGTGTGTGTGTGTGTGTGTGTGTGTGTGTGTGTGTGATGTTCTGCTATGTTTGTTATACTCTATATTTTGTATTAGTATGTGATGTTGTAATTGTGACCAGTTGAGGGATGTAAACTAGCTTTAAGATAACTCTGGTACTATGTTTAATATTGTACATTGTCCCTTTACAAATAAAAAAGGTTAAATAAAATTAAAGCATGAACGTTTTGATATTGTATATGTGTAGGTGTAATGAATCAGAGGGATGAGTGGAAATGGAGATCTATATGTTTATATGGTTTATATAATGTAGTATACAGGTAGTTTTTGGCGACTTTAATGGTCTTTGTAGGCATCCGTAGTGTTTGTTTTCATTTTAACCCGGAAAGAGTTTGTTGTTGATATGACGTCATCAGGTGTGATAAAGATGGCGGAGTGTGAGGAGGAGGTGGAGGTGTTGGTGCAGAGAGTTGTTAAAGACATCACGAGCGCGTTTAAGAAGAACCCGAGCATGTAAGTACACCTTAGTGTGAACACTGTGGATAGACGGAGCCGAGGTGCTGGATATGTTCTGTATGAGGAGATAAAATAACTCCTGTTACACTGCGCGGGCTCCGACTATCAACTGGAGAAACCCTCCTGAACCTGCAGTTACATGGAGCCGGCTCCGACTATTACCTGGAGAAGTAGGTCCAGAGAAAGTTGTTAGTTTACCGGCTTCTCCTGACATCCCGAAATAAAACGATTATCAGAAACATCCCGGGAACAGATACTTTGTGTTTATGTTTCAAACATCAGGTAATAGACTGTGTGTTAGCGGTGTGTTAATAAGAGTAATAAATGTACTTCATCAATGACAAGTCCGGTGTCTGGATCTAATGTTCCTCACTTCTCGTGTCAGGTGCCGATCAGTGGGTTCACCTGTCAGGTGTACCTGTGACACACTGTCAGGACTAGCTGATGCTAGGCTAACACAAGCTAGCGTCTTTCCTCAGCCGATCCCGTGTTTATTAAACAGCTGTAGTTTTTTTAAAGCGTCCTCATTAAAGTGTGTGTGTGTGTGTGTGTGTGTGTGTGTGTGTGTGTGTGTGTGTGTGTGTGTGTGTGTGTGTGTGTGTGTGTGTGTGTGTGTGTGTGTGTGTGTGTGTGTGTGTGTGTGTGTGTGTGTGTGTGTGTGTGTGTGTGTGTGTGTGTGTGTGTGTGTGTGTGTGTGTGTGTGAGACTTTTTGGGGGATTTTCCAGTATTATTAGTCCCAGGGAATTGTGTGAAATTGTATATGCATTACATAGAATCCTGAAATTCTGACCCTGGTCACTTGATAATGTTTAGAGTGAGGGACTAGCTGTGGATCCCAGAGACACTAAACGTACAGGAGAAATGATCTGAGACCTGTTAGAGGGCCAAAAGGACTCTAAGTGCTTTGGAGAACAAATACAGGTCACTGATTAGACAGGTGTGTCATGTCCCTTCCTCTGATTGGTCAGTTTAATCTGTATAAGGACTGACACGGTGTGATCCATCCCTGCTGTGCACATGCAGAGTAAAACCTGTACTACTAGCTGTTAGCTTTGACTTTATGACACGTGATGTGCTGTCAGAGTGATTCCTCTGTGTGCGCTTATCTCCCTCAGAGATGAGATCGGGGTGATCCCGTGTCCCGAGGCTCGATATAACCGCAGTCCCATCGTGTTGGTGGAGAACAAACTGGGCGTGGAGAGCTGGTGTGTCAAGTTCCTGCTGCCATACGTCCACAACAAGTTGCTGCTGTATCGCCAACGCAAACACTGGCTGGACCGGGAGGGTGAGTGAGAGTTCTGTGAACACATTAACATCGTTTACCCTCTGTTTGAGGGTACAGCTTCTTACTGACAGTGTTTGTGTGTCACAGCTTTAGTGGACATCACCTGCACCGTGCTGCTGCTCAACCCAGACTTCACCACCGCATGGAATGTCAGGTAACACACAACCTAGGCACACTTGTCTCCCCCTGGTCTCCCCCTGGTCACACCTCACAGCCGGCAGCTACATCACCACATGTACACCTACAAAAGAAGAAGTCTTATTCTGAAAGTTTCGGTCTTTCTTGTATTTTCTGAAAAGAGATCAGTGTTGCGGCAGTGAGATAAACCAACAGTCTAATCTGTCTGATGTGTAAATGTAATCCAGATCTGATTGTCCTGCAGAAAGGAGCTGCTGCAGTCCGGAGTCCTGAACCCAGAGAAAGACCTGTACTTGGGACAGCTGGCTCTCACCAAGTTCCCCAAGAGCCCAGAGACCTGGATCCACAGGTAAAACCTCCTGTCTAATTTAGTCTAAATGCTGTCAGTGTCCCCAGTTCAGATACTACACCATCATTAGACGGGCCGTCCAGCCTTGCTGACAAAAGAAGACAGCCCTGACCCCTTTGTATCAGCTGGGTTCTATATTTCACTTTGGAAGTTGCTGGCAACCCCACCTGTGACAGAGTCCAGACTGGGTCAGATATTTAACCCTGGTTGTTGTTGTTGTCTTTATGCAGACGCTGGGTGCTGCAGCATGTCCTGGCTCAGTTGGCAGCTGTCGGCAGCAGCAGGAAGCATCAGCAGTCAGGTGAAGGAGAGCAGGTGGATGCAGACAGAAGACAGGAGCTCAGCGATCACCTGGCTCGAACTCTTCATCAGGAGATGAAGGTGTGCTCTGACGCTGCCTGCCGTTACCCCAGCAACTACAACGCCTGGTCTCACCGCATCTGGGTGCTGCAGCACATGGCCAGGGGCAACGCCAAGGTAAGACACACACACACACACACACACACACACACACACACACACACACACACACACACACACACACACACCTGCTCTTTTCATTCCATTGATGCTCTGCACACCTGCAGGAACAGATATCAGAGATAATCTGAGTTTCTCTTCTTCTTCTTCTTGCTATACTTCAACCAATCACATCATTGTTCCATCATGATGTCTCCTCCTCACAGGTGTCCATGACATCTTCTCCTCTTCCTCACAGGTTTTCATGATGATGTAAATGTTTATTAATATGCAATGTCCCTGTAAAATAAAAAAAAATAAAAAATGATGGCTTCTCCTTCTCCTCACAGGTGTCCATGATGATGGCTGTTTTCGAAACCGCATACTACATACTACTATCTAAATCAGTATGCAGTATATACTGTATACTGCATACTGAGTTCAACATTAGTATGTAGTATGACTGCCAGTCGTCAGTTATTTTGCAGTATGCTTGGCCCCGGTTAAACTGGTTTTACTCAGCTGTGAATAATTTGTAGTAATAGAGCAAGCCGAGGACCCTGTAATTGCAGCTGCTTGTCCAGCTGTGACACATGCACTGTACAGTCTACAAAGCAGGAAAATAAATATATGAACATGTCATATTTGTTATTGGTTCATAATGTGGCAAGATATTCAGTCACCGCCACCGACGAGTTCAAACAGCTGCGCTCCGGCATTTTGATCTCTGACCTGGCACTTTGCATTGTGGGAAACAGTACGCGAGGTAGACTGGTCCGATGCATACTGTACAATTTTCCCGAATCAGTATGACATCCTGGTATTTTTGGCATACTGCAGATCTCGCAGTTGCTCACATACTGTATACTGCATTTTGGCCAAATCAGTATGTTCTAGTAGTATAGTATGCGGTTTCGAAAACAGCCGATGTCTTCTTCTCCTCCTCACAGGTGTTCATGATGATGTCTTCTTCTCCTCCTCACAGGTGTTCATGATGATGTCTTCTCCTCCTCACAGGTGTTCATGATGATGTCTTCTCCTCCTCCTCACAGGTGTTCATGATGATGTCTTCTCCTCCTCACAGGTGTTCATGATGATGTCTTCTTCTCCTCCTCACAGGTGTTCATGATGATGTCTTCTTCTCCTCCTCACAGGTGTTCGTGATGATGTCTTCTTCTCCTCCTCACAGGTGTTCATGATGATGTCTTCTCCTCCTCACAGGTGTTCATGATGATGTTTTCTCCTCCTCCTCACAGGTGTTCCATGACGAGCTGTCGTCCATGCGTCTCTGGGTGTCCATGCATGTGTCTGATCACAGCGGGTTTCACTATCGTCAGTTCCTACTGAAGGAGCTGATCCATGAGCTCTCCCAGTCTGCAGCTTCCTGCACCAGTTCACCTCAGCACAGGACCAGTTCAGCCCCCAGCAGCCCCACACTCCACAGTCAGGCTAACGGGGAGCTGTCAGGGGGGGAGGAGGAGGAGGGGGAAGAGGACCTCACAGGTGAGGGGGAGGGGGAGGAGAGACAGCTCAGCTTCATCACTGTCCTTCAGCTCTTCCACCAGGAGATGGAGCTGATCTCAGACCTGATCCGGTCCTTCCCTGGACATGAGACACTCTGGAGCCACAGGTTAGACACACACACACACACACACACACACACACACACACACACACACACACACACACACACACACACAGCCCTGCTCTCTGCCTGTATGTGTCCGTTTCATTGAAAATTAGCAATAAGTTTCATAAAGTCGCCCTAACATATCAAGTCTGGTTTTAGAGGGTTGTTCTTAATGACGTAGCAAAACGTCATTAAGAGTGTGCAGAATTACATGGGCAGCAACCAGCTACACAAAACTCTTTAACACGAGACAAATCGCCACAAGCAAAACATTGAAGACAGGCAGAACAGCACAGCAAGTCTCTCTACCTGTAGCCTGTACGGCGATCACTCTCACGATTGATCTTAGATGGCAATGTTATGCAGATTAATAAAGGAAAAATGCAAATATGGTCAACAAATGTAGTTTGGAGTAAGTATACCTTGAAGTGCCTGTCTAGGTTTACTGTAAATGCATATGAACTGAAGAAACTGTATCACAATCTGTGTACCATTAACAATGTCATCACTCACCCTCTGGAATTCTTATGATTGACAAATCTCACATTAAAACCTTGTTATACAATTTAATGTGTCTTGTTCAAATTGAAAATCAACAGGGGTCCTCCCCCTGGACATTTTGAGCATCAATCTCTGTAACTCTGGTATTCTGTTGCATTTTTGTACACCAGTTTGACGGAAATTTTTGAAAAAAGGAAAATGATCTAATTTAACTTCTGGTACTATCTGGTACTTCCTGCATGGATGTCAAATGTCACACTCTAGCAGATTGAAGCAGATTCTCACCTTACAGGATTATAAACAAGTCTGATTTAAGCATCTTTCACTGAAGACAGTTTGTCAAGCTGATTCCATGACTTGTTGATCCTGACTGTGTTAATGTTATTCGTGGCAATAACGAGTTTTATCAGTTTTTTTAATCTAAGTTTTTTCTTCTGTGGTACTCTGGCATGTCGAAGACTGTTTGTTAACACGCCACAACTCTGTAATTGAGACAAGACGGAGCTTAATCTGAAATAAATCATATTTTTACGTATTATGCTCTGACCGTGCCAGAGAAGACAAAGGGACCGAGAGAGACAAAAGTGCTTACAATCACAAAAGTATATAAAAAAAAAAAAAAAACAAGTAATAAAAATGTAAATAACCCTGAAGCCTTGTGTGATTCTCAGGTCTTTCAGTGAAGTTTCTTTCAAATTTGCTGCAGTCTTGAGTTTCTAACACTCACAGCTATCAGCAGGCTGAACGCGCTTCGGTGATCCACGTAGGTGTTTATAGTTCAGGACAAAACCGCTGAGGGAGTATTTGTTTGTAGCCGGATATTAGTGTAGGGCATGCCTGTACAGCAGGGTACAAATAAAGAAACAAACGCTCTCTCTGAAACATGTGATCTTCCTCTCCCTTCACTTTTCATCCTCTTTTGATGTTTGGCAGTGTGCTTCCTGGTGCACTCAATTGATAATACGGCGCCATCTGCATGTTGGTGTACAGCTGTAATTGCAGTTAGAACTGGCTAATTTAACAGGTGCTGTTCTTGGAACTCTGTGTTGTTCATCAAAAAACCCGTCTGACTTTGACCTGGGCTGGTAGCAGAAGACTAAATGAGGCAGTGGCAGCCGCTTTCCAATTTTTAAATGCAGGAAAAAAACCCTGTGTTTAAGCAAAGCAGTCTAATCAGTGCACTACTTTATTGTCCATGGCTTTTCATTTTACTAAATTTCTCTTAAACGTTCATGCACTTTAGTGAACCGATTACACCCTAAATGCTGGTGTATTTGAGTCGCTGGAGTGTGATCCTTGGGAGTTTTTAGCTTTTAGCTTGTAGCCCGTAGGGATAACATCACAGCTCCAGGTCTCTGAAGTGACAGCTTTCACATCCATTAACTCGGTTGATAAGTGTTCTTATAGGCCGGCAAGCAGAGCACTTTAAGAAAAATATTTCCGTGATGTCATACTGTAGTGTGGTTCAGAGTATTATGTCGTTTTGATACCTCACTAGGAAGTTTCATGCAATGTAGCCGACAAATTGAACTGCTTGGCTGAGTGTCTTCTGTGTCCTTTTTGTTTTTTAAAACTTGTTTTACCACCACCTCTCGAAAACGTAAGCTGTGCAGACATTTTAAGGAGTGAAATACTCCCAAACTGTTTAGCCATTCTTATTAGCACCCTCAATGCTCTGCACCAAAATGTACAGGCGTACCAGCTCTCAGATGACAGTGACGTAGCACACACACATTCTCTCTATAAACACAAAAAGTATAGAACTGAATTGTATAGATTGCCATAATGATTAGTCCATTGACATCAATACTTACCGTATTTTCCGCACTATAAGGCGCACCGGATTATAAGGCGCACCTTCAATGAATGGCCTATTTTAGAACTGTTTTCATATATAGGGCGCACCGGATTATAAGGCGCATAGAATATAACGTATTTACAACTGAACAAGGCTGGGAGATATTGTGAATATACAAATATAAATACGTATAAAACGTAACATATAAAACTACAAAAACAAAAGTACATAAGACGATTTCCCCAAATAATAAATTATTTCTTTAACGTTTCTCTTAACTCTCAAAACGTAGTTTTATACGTAGTGCATTCACAATAACTCAACGTTGTTCAAACGTTAATGTGCATATTCACAATATCTCCCAGCCTTGTTCAGTTGTAAACACGTAAAAGAAACACAGTCTGATACCGCTAATTCAAACGTTAGTGCAGGGGTGCCCAAACAGTCGATCGCGATCGACAGGTAGATCGCTGACTGATTCTCAGTCGATCGCGAGATGTTTTGTCAATATAAAATACAATTGTAAAATAGAAAAGTGATTTCAATTTCATCTCATTGCACTGTTTCCCACACACGATACCTGTGTTGGGAGCCCAAGTATACTTCCGACCTGTGTGTATTTAATTTTTCATTTATTCATGAAATTGCTGCGTGCATGAGAGAGCGAGCGAGAGAGCGAGCGGGGGAGCGAGAGAGAGAGAGAGAGAGAGAGAGAGAGCGCGCGCGCAAGAGAGAGTGCAGGCATGCGCAAGGACGTGCAGGTAAAACCGGGGGGGGGGTAAATGTTTTACCAAAAAGTCATATATAGAAACTATGCTACGAGTATTAAAGGCTATGGCTCACTATGTGGACTGGTAGATCTCAGCAGACTGGTAACTTTAAAAGTAGATCTTGGTTCAAAAAAGGTTGGGCACCCCTGCGTTAGTGCATAACTCAACATTGTTCAGTTACGTATAACACGTAAAGCTCACTTTTTCAGTTCATTCCCCGTCCACGAATCCCTCGAATTCTTCTTCTTCAGTGTCCGAATTGAACAGTTGGGCGAGTACGGCATCCAACATGCCCGGCTCCCTCTCGTCATTATCCGAGTCAGTGTCGCTGAGCGCCGTGTACAACCAGTATGGATCAACCAATTAACCAATTGATCCATATATAAGGCGCTCCGGATTATAAGGCGCGCTGTCGTTTTTTGAGAAAATTAAAGGCTTTTAAGTGCGCCTTATAGTGCGGAAAATACGGTAATCTAGCTATTAAAGTCAGTTGGGCTGATCAGATACCAGGATCTTCTGCTGACGTCTTTTAAAAAAAATCTACTTTGTAAGAATTTAGAACATGACATGTTAATGTTCCAAACACATTCATTGATAAACTGACTTTTATGTTTTCAGGCGTCACGTGTTCTTCCTGTGGCAGCAGTGGAGGCGGGATCAGAAGCTCAGCAACGGTGGTGAGTTGGCCCAGCTGAGTGACGGGGGAGGCGGGGCTTCAGAAGGGGGGATGTCTGGGGGGGGGAGAGTGTGAACGGACAGAGTCACAGTGATGCTATGGAGGTGGAAAGGGTGTGTCTCCCCGACCCTCGGGACAGTAAACGTCTGAAGAGAGGAGTCCACCTGCCCGCTCCCCCCTCCCTGCCCTCTGAGTACACCTTTGTGAGTTCGGTGTTGGACAGCTGCTGCCCCGCTGACCAGAGACGCTTCGCCATGTCCTACAAAAAGTGGTTAGACACAGTCATCGTCCAGGAGCCCTGAGAGACTAAACGCCCCATTTGTACTGACACCTGAGTTAAGGGACACCACGTTTGTACTTACACCTGAGAGACTGGACACCACGTTTGTACTTACACCTGAGAGACTGGACACAACGTTTGTACCGGCGTCTGAGAGAGACGGGACGCCGCGTTTGTACTGCCACCTGAGAGACAAACGCCATGTTTGTATTGAGGCTTGCAGGAACAAATCAGGGATTAAGTTAGCATCAGTTCTGAGTAAATCCTGGGTCAGTCTGATGCAGACCCTTACACTAAGATCTGTCCTGGGTGATCAGATCTCAAGTCTTAGTGCTTGGTGTGAACGCAGCCCGATGTGTCCTGAGAACTGATTGAGATCTGCTCACTCAGACCACTTACTGAGGTGGTCTGGAACTCATTGGTCCACATTGGTTTGGTAATGTTAACACTCGTGTCCTGGGGCACATGAAGGACCTCCCCCTCACGTGTTGTCATCTGCAGTAGTTGAACTGTGAGAACGATGCTGGCTCCTGCTGGATGAAAACCACAACACATTTGATCTTTTCAAACAGAAACGATGTGCAGGTGATCCTTTATGCAGCAGGCAGGTGAGATCTGAACACGGGTGTTACCTGCAGACACAGCAGGTCCGTGCAAAGTGTGAACTCAGAGTCTGGAGCTGTTCACTGGTGATCTGAGGCCTGTACTTTGAAGGGCGTTCATCATAGCCAGGTTATCTTCACTTCCATTTAGTGATCCTTTAGTTACATGTTGTTACCTGTAGTGATCTTGAGTGATGTTTAGTTATCTGTCTTCACTAACCTCAACCAATGAGATTACACTGAATGATCACATGAAGCTGGTTATCAACCTCAGAAGTAAACCCGGAGCTTCACAGCGTGTTCACATAAAAAGGCCGGAGTTAGCTTTACATAAACTGTCAGCAGATCGTCATATTTAACAAACTCAGAGCTTTGATATTAAAAAAAATGAAGAAGTTAAACACATAATCCAGACTAAAATCACACATCTGCAGAGAAAAATGCAGGAAGAACTGACAGAAGAAAGAAAAGTCGCTTTGTGAATGTGCAAATTAAGTCCTATGTCTCTTTCTCGTGATTAGTGCACTTTAGATCTGACTGTGTAACTCCTGTTTGTCCACTTACATTCATTTGTTGCTCAAATTTTTTTGTGTGACAGATTTAGACGTTATATAATCAGCTGCAGCCCTGACGGTTACAAACCGAGCGGCATGGAGCCAATAGAAATGAATATGAAAAATTCAAAGCAATAAGTACGAGTATATTACATCTTGTAAACATTACTAACAGGATGCGGTGTTTGTTCAGTCAACACAAAGTGTGAGTCGGTCTCTCTACCTCCTCCCCTCTCTGGATCAGCTCACAGACCTCTTCATCTCTTGTCCTGAACATAACCCCGCTCTAGAGCAGGTCAGGTGTTCAGCATCAGTTACCATGGTGATCTACCTCGGTAAGAAGTGAACCACCTTCATAGTCTTGAAAACTCAGAGTTAACTCTGAAGTTACCATGGTAACAGAGCATCCCTCAGAGTACAGAGCTCAGGTCCGTGAAACCACACTGATACAGGTACAGAGGATGAGTTCTGGTCTTACCTGCCTGGTCCGGTCTTCCTGGAAGCATGTGGACCCCTGAAGTTTCACCTGAGCCAAGACCCCTTCAGCTGTCACAGTGTTCAGGTGTGTTCAGTTCAAACTGACTCTGACTGACTCCTCTCTTTGATTTCATTCTGTTTCAGTAGTGATGTTAAATGAAGCTACAGGAGGATCAGAGTGTCTGCAGAGAGCCGAGCTGAACACACACACACATATATTTGATATGAAACAATCGTCTGTGACATCATTTCAATATTTCTTAAAATTCAGGTGATAAGAAGTTTTTGGTCATCATAACAGTTTATTCATAAATACATTTAAAGGTCTTTTCTATTAAGAAAACAGTGAATTCATAGTTAATATCTGGTAAATTAATAGTTAAATGTTTAAATGTAAATATACAGCAAGTTTATAATAAATAAACAGGAAGTTAAACTGTAAACAGTTTATTACATAAATCCTCTTAATTTAAATTCAGATGGTTTGATCTTAAAGAAGTATTTTGAACTGAACACACTGAAGTGACTCTGATGATCCCTTGTCTCCGTTAGATTCTCTCAGCGCTCCCCTGAGCAGGAGTCACAGTCAAACTCCTCCTCCACACGTGAAGGAGGTCACCTGTGTTCAACACGTTACAGTCCTCGCTGCTGGTTTCTCATTTTAATGCGGAATCTATTCAGTAAATGCCAACTATGTAGCTCAGCGCTAACTTAGCGTAGCGTGCAACAGGAAGCCAAATGGCTAATTGTTCGCTACGAACAGAAAGTCTTACTTACAGCCAACCTGAAGCATTAAATCTCAGCAGAGAGAAGTTTGCTTTAGCAGTTAGCGGTACTGATGTTTGTTCTCTGGTGCTACATGCTGCTGTTACTCTGCACCTGTTACAGGTGTGTGGTGACCACAGGTAACAGCACTATCAACATGATAATCACAGTAATTATTGATTATAGACAGGATAGATCAAAATATTAAACTGTTTTTGTTACTAAGCAACAGTAGCTGCTTTATGTCACCACCCTGTATAAATTAAGACGTGACATCATAAAGGTCAAAATCTACTTAAATGTTTATGTTTAAGATTATTATTATTATTATTAATAACTTTAAATATGTTTCTGTACATTTCATCTTCATTCATTTGTTGTTTATTGTTCACTGTAACATACACTTTAACATAAGAACACATGAACACACGAGTTAAATAAGCGAACAGATGAAAAGAAAACTTAAGAGATAGAATAATTGAAAACACTTGAGAATGTGTGAACAGAAAATGAAAGAATTTGAAATGGATAAAATGAGAATAGAGAGAAACAATGAGAGAACATAATCCATGTTGTGTAATGAAAGGGATAATGCAGAGTTAGCTTACTTCAGAAATTAACTAAATATTAATTTGGAAATTAATTTATTGATTCAAAAAGTATTTATTCCTTCTGCTAAACAAATAGTCTGCTAGAATTCTACAGTGAGAGCTGTTTCCATAGCAACGGTTAACTCTCTATCCTTCACTAAATGAGCTAAACTAGCTTCCATTACTCACATTAAACTGAGCATATCTTAAAGTAAGCTGATTTTCACCGTATCCCATACTGCGTTCTGTTACATGTTTACTTCATGGGCCTTCTTCAGTTTGGGAGATCTTCTCCACCATGGCATTCCGTTTTTTTTTTAGATGTCTTTTTATCATCCTTCCTCCTCTGTTATCCTCTCCTTTCTCTTTTCCCACAGTAAACAGACCGACGTCTAATTACCAGACTGCTTTCTATGGATTGATGTTACCACAGTCGGTTCTCCGCAGTCCGTGGTTAGAGCCGCGTCTCTAGCAACCGCCTGCTTTTCTTAGAGACGGTGTGTCCTCCTTTACAAAGGCGATCTGTAGAGGGATGTCAGACCGTTGCTTTGGTAAACACACAGCCTTGTAATAGGTTTATTATAGACTCTATTCGTAATAACAGGAGATAACATGGTCGTGTTATGTAATAAAGAACGGGTTCACAGGTGTATGATGGGATATTCAACTTTTGAACTTTGACTCTATGCAGAAATGTCTTTTTAAAGGTTCATTGAGCTTTTTACAGAAAATATGTAGCTTGTATTCTAATTTATTCTTCACTGGAGGGTTTGTCTTAATCTATAAAATCACATTAATTTGTATTTATTTTTAGGGTTAAACTGTTTCATCTGCTTACAAACAAAATAAACTCACCTGGAATAAAAAAAAACACTTCTTTTTGTGTATTTGAGTTTTTTTCTGATTCATCAGACGTCATCGAGAACTGAACACCTGAGGACTTTTACTGACCTCCAGGACTGAAGGATCTACAAGGTGATGTGGTCAGGACCCTGGTCTTAATCTTGAGCTATAACATGATTGGTCCTGGTCTTGTGTTTTCATTAAAAAAAAATTAAATAATCACTCTTTTGGATGCTCCCTAATGCTGTGTTTGAGTGTCGGCCACAATAAGAGCTGTTTGAATTCTCTAGATGAAAAGGAAAGCAGCTTCACGCTTTCTTTCGTATCTCTTTAAGGATTCACTGGACTGTCATTTACCAAAGAACAGAAGAAACTTCATAGTATTAAACTTTGACCATTTAGGAAAACAAGCGATCAACTTGATCGTACAGTTGAAGCCGTCTTCACTGAACAATCATTTTTATTTGATCAAACTTATGATTCATGTGGATAAATATGAGAGGAGAAACAAAATTTTTACCTTTCCTATGTTTGTTTCTATTTCTTTTATTTAATCCAAACCTCCAATCTATCTATAATTTATGTCTCTACTTTAAGATAACACTTGGGTCGCGCCCCATGTACGCAGGGGCGTGTCCGGGTGGGTGGCCAGGGGTGGCCCCTAGAAATCTGATTGTCCATAAAAAAATTCCTAAACTGTGATTGGCTATTTGCCCTGACAGAAGCAAGGGATTTGTTGTTGAAACCAACTATAAGGTCTATTTTTGAAAAGGCAGTTAGTATTTTTCTAAACATAGCAATGTTTATTTCATAAGACATGCAAAAAGTAATGCACACACCTTTCACTGACCCTGTGACATTTCTCCTCCAGTTTTAGGAACAGTTGATAGTGGACTGTGAAACATGAAACATAAGATCTTACATGGCTGACCTAGGATCTAGTTTGCGCTCCCCATGCAGAGGCTGTGGTCCTCAGAACAGGCGGCTCATGTTTAAATCTGACTTGTGGCTCCTTTCCCACATGTCATTCCCCACTCTCTCTCTTTACCAGATTTCCAAATCCATCCACTGTCCTGAAAATGTTTTCACATTTTGATGACTTCATACCATCTATGGTTTGGACCAGGTGACCAGGTGTGTTTCATGTGATTAGCTCCTGATGTTCCAACATAATGAGAAATGAAATAGTTCAATTAAAAAGCATTTACATCGCAGCATCAAATTGAAATGTATTGACATACATTCATACATTTTACTTGATTCTATTTCCCCGTTATATAGGCCTAGAATAATTTCTGGTTGATCTCTCGAGAACTCCACTCATTTATGTTGAATTTCTTTTAACAAGAATTTAAACTAAACCAACTTTTTATAGAATCACAAACATTAGGCCAACACTTTTAAGCAAATCTTCTATTTGAAAAAATTAAATTTAAAAAAAGTGTTTTAATTAACGAAGAAGTATAAACTGATGTAGGCCTATTGTGTATTTTTCTTCTTACTTTGTTAAGTATCGTCACACAAATCCTGCAGAGACCGGAGGCTGTGTGTGTGCGTGTGTATGTGTGTGAGCGTGTAGGAGGGAGGGGCCGCAAACACACACACACACACACACACAGTCAGAGGGAAGATGGAGGACAGCAGCAGCAGCGGGGCGGACCTGATTCGTCTTCTTCTTTGAATGAAGGTGAGTTATGGTCTGGTCCGATTCGGTTTGATTCTGGTTTTGTGTTAGTGGATACCCCCTCCCCCCACAACCGGGTGTGTGTGTGTGTGTGTATGTGTGTGTGTCGGGGGGGATGTAGCTGCAGATGTGACTACGGAGGATCGTTACCGTCCCGCTGCTGTGCTCGGTGTCTGTGATTCATAAAAACATCATCACCAGGGCGCGTTCAGGACCGGGACAACACTGAGCCGGACCGAGCCGGACCTGCAGGGTCTGTGTGCCGGTCTGAGGGGGTGGTGTGTGTGTGTGTGTGTGTGTGTGTGTGTGGTGGGGTGGGTGGTGGGTGGGGGGGGGATAACGGATCACAGAGGCCCTGTTGTTGTCGGCAGGTGCAGAGCCGCAGCTTGGTCCGGTGTTATGGATTCAAGAGTGACCGTGTTAACTGATGACTTTCAGCCGAATGTGTCTGTGGTTGTCATGGTTACAACAGATGTTGAATGCGCAGTTACATCCTCTTTGTTTGTTTTTTTTACTACAGACATAGGCCTATCTGATGACTGCTTTTGAATTCAGGCCTATAGGCCTAATAAAAATAAACTGTGTGTGTGTGTGTGTGTGTGTGTGTGTGTGTGTGTGTGTCTGTGTGCGTAGCCTACGTGTGTGTCGACATACTGTTTCAGCCTGACTCTGTAAACCTGATTGTAAATGTTTTGAGGCATCAGTTCTGTCAGAAACCTTAAAGGTGATGGTGTCAGAGATAGTCTCGTTCATACCTGGTTAATTGGTTAATGAGTTGTCCATAATCTTTCACACACAGTGAGGTTGTCTCTGTTGTGGAAGCTAAGCAGGGGCGTGTCCAGACTTTTTTTTTGACTCGTGGCCTTTTTGACAGTGGTACTGACTAATGCAGGGGTGGCAAGTTCGTGCACACATGCACACACAATTGAATTGAATTTCCCGTTATATCTCCACTAATCATATCTTCTTTAAAGTAACAAAAGAGAACGAAAACATATAGGCTACATCCTATAAGTTTAATACTTAAAGGACTCTTAACAAAGTTGTCCAAAGGCAAGATACAAGCACTTGAAAAAATGTGCATGCAAACTCCTTCACACAGTCTGAACTGCTGAAAGACATTTATTGGAACAGTTTCTGTAACAAAACATTTGTAGTTAGTTTATGCAAGTGTGACTGTGTACAGGAGTTTGCATGCAAATCTGTTATGGACTGATTCCTCTCCTACACAGCTGTCTCATGAAACAGATGTGGAAACTATTTATTTACAATCTAAAAAACTAACAGAGGAAAATGTTCTACATTGTCATGTAAAGAAAACTACTGCAGGACTGTTACAACACAGCCCAAAGAAATCTGAACATAAGTCCCGCCTCAGAAAAGGCAAATAGCCAAGCATAATTTAGGATTATGGGGGGCAATTAGGGTAGACTATCAGATTTATAAGGGGGCCTACGCCATCCCTGGCAACCCCTTTGGACCAACCACCGCAGTGAAGGTTGTCAAAATGCGCAATACTTTGATACCTTTTACTTTTTAAACAATTCACGTTACACCGGCAACGTTTCAGTGGGGAAACATTGCCAACATATTTGTGCAATTTAGACAGTGTGCAGGATTGCTCCAGAAATGTTTGATAATTAAAGACAAGAAGTAACCCGATATATTGGGTGCCTAGGACTAGAATCATATTAAAGTTTAACATGATGCTATCATATCATCCCTAGTTCACACAGAATGAGATTCTATCTGTGGTGGAAACTGATCAGAGTTTATTTATCAGACTAAACAAGCTCATTAATGTACCTATAATGATCATGTACAGGTAACTCAACATAACTTCTCATCACTACAGGTGTCCTCTTTTCAGGTAAAATACAACAGCAAACCTAACTCCATGCACAGGATGCACAAATAGACCGGTGTGACAGATGAGCGTTATTGTAAATACACTTGACTGTGCATGAGGGTTACTGACACGTGTTACTGCAGAATACACCTATAGGGCAGACCAGAGCGCTCAGGCCTACCTGATGTGCAGGATGTACATTTCAAACATGGTGACAATGGAGGAGACTACTATTATGTTAATTCTGAGATCATAACTAACATCAATAATAATAGTAACATCAGATCTGCTTAGACTGATGGCTGGTGAACAGAACACAACATCAGTTTCATTAACATTTTCCTCTGTGCACACAGTAACTCTGAGTCAGTAACTTTTTCCTAAAAAAGCAAAATATAGACTTAAATAAAACCTATTCTGGTCAATCATCACTAATGGGCCTCCATACTGTACATGAAGGTGGTGGCGACTGTGTCTGCAGAGACCCTGTCCTCTGCCTGGATTTTCATGTTTTGCTTTGTTTTGGTTGACTCTTTTCTGCTGAGCAGTTTTTTCAGCTATTGTGACAGGCATGTTTCTCTCAGTGCAGTGACAATGACACATTGTGAAGATGTGGTTAATTAAAGACTTGGTTTGTCAGCTTGTCTCTCTGCTT